TAATCCAAAGGGAGACATCCCCCAAGAACCAAGACACAGAACAGGACAACGGCATCGCCCTCCTCCCTTACATCAAAGCCACCACAGATAAAATCAGCAAAATTCTCCGCAAACACAATATCAAGATAGCCTTCTGCACTGACCAAAAAATAGCCAACATCTTAAGAAACCCCAAAGACAAGATCCAGCTAGAAAACCAAGGAGTCTATGAAATACCATGCAAAATCTGCCCAGCCACATACATTGGACAAACTAATAGGAGAATAAATGCACGCATTGCAGAACACAAGAACGCAATCAGAAAAGAAGAAAAAACTTCCTCCCTTTTCCAGCACCTTAAAACAACAGGACATGAAATTGAAGGAACCAAATTAATCTCCAAAACTGAACACTTCAACAAGAGAATAATCATGGAAGCCATCGAAATAGAGAAACACCCCCACAACATGAATAAATGCAACGATACCTCTGGATCGGACATCTGGAAACTAGCCCTAGTCAACAGACGAGTCTCAGCCATGAAGATTAACACCGGACCCAAGATAATACATGACACCACCACCAATCATCCTCACCAGATTCAAACCCAAACCCATCCCATAGACGAAATACAACCACCATCCAGAAGCTAAACCATGGCGGCATCACCAGCTGCTGCCCCCCCCCCCCCCCCCGGATCCCCACACAAAGCAAACTGACACACGCCATGAACACATGGCAAGACCTCAAACGCGGAGCCAAACCAAAGCCCGGGATGTGGCATCACAGCCATCTGCTCGGGACATTACATCAACTACCCAGCCCATTACCCAGGTCGTTAAAACACAAAAGACTAATGGGCACACATCAAGGACCTCACCCACACAGGATGTTACGGAACAGCCGACTAATCTGCAAACATCAATTCCATCAACTAATCAAGATGTAAGAACACAGACAACCAACCCACTCACAGCAACAAAGCCAGCACCCCACACCTCCCCACCAGTATTTATAGAGAGACGGCAGCTCCGATCACACTTTGCTTGCACAGGCACGAAGCCGAAAGTACCAGCCTGAAGTTGACGAGTGGGACCTCCTCGAAACATCGCCAAGATACTCTCAATCTTACACAGGAAAAGACCCGAATACGCCAAGACTTGCATAATACACATACACACACACACACACACACACACACACACACACACACATATAATTATTACCTCCAGAATTCCCAGCTAGCATGGCTTTCTTCAGTTTTGAAAGCTACAGTTCAAACACACCTGTGAGCTTCCAGGTTCTGATGAATCTTTGCTAAATAATCGATATGGACCAGGAATTTCAGAGTAGCTTCATTTTATATATGCATCTCTATTTATTTCTCCACACATGGAGGAAATGCAACAGTAATAATCTAAAAACGAAAGTGTAAACAATATTAAGGGATCATACAAATTCTTTTGAAAGTTTATTACACATTAATTCCAACATTAGATACAACATATTAGTTTTAATTGAAACAGTTTATTCAGGAAGATAAGTGTACTTCAGAATATTTGACCACAGAAGTAAAAAGGATATATATTCCACAATTCCCAAACTACAATATTCAGTAAAGAAGTGAAACAGACAGAATTTTTTAACAGTGGTATAATCATCAGCCATTAGATTATTCCTTCAGAAATTGCTGCATACTGCTTACCATTTAAGCACAGACTTAGCAACTGCTGAGAAAACTTTGTTCTTAACGAATACAAACACAGTTGCTGATAAAATGGTAAAAAAATACCTGTATTTTTATTATTATTTTTTATTATTGCCTACACAGGCTACTTTGAAGAGTGAAGACAAATGTCTTAGCCTTAGACACAATATTATTCCATGGGTGGATTTCCAAGAAACTTAACTGCTATGCAGGAAAAAATATACTAAATAGATTCTGGATATGTCCTAAGTTGCAATTAACCAAGGTACTATCATTTCTCGACAGTTACAAATGTTTCCACTATGTTGCCTCATTCCAGTCCATGAGTGACGCAGATTTAACTCAACTGGGGTTAAAATAGCCTTTCTTTTGGACGTGTGTGTTTCCTACCAGTGCTAGACGCTTCTGCTGCTGTTTTGCTATTTGCTTCCTAAAGAGCTGGATTTAGCAAGATGTAAAATTTTAAGAACGTTATTTGGTCTATAATGCGAACCTTTACTAATGTTAGTTGGTCTGTAAAGTTGTAGAGCCTGAACTAGCCTAATAGGAAAATAGTGTAACAGTGTGAAAAAGTGTAATAGTGAAATGTCAGGACCAATACACACTCCTTTTTGTCTCTACAATAGAACATTTAGAAGTCTGCATGTCAACAATTGGTGACTACAAAAAAAAAGGGAGGAATCCTAAATAGCAATAGCACTTATATACCGCTTCACAGTGCTTTTACAGCCCTCTCTAAGCAGTTTACAGAGTCAGCATATTGCCCCCAACAATCTGGGTCCTCATTTTACTGACCTCGGAAGGATGGAAGGCTGAGTCAACCTTGAGCCTGGTGAGATTTGAACGGCCAAATTGCAGTCAGCCAACAGTCAGCAGAATTAGTCTATTAGTACTGCACTCTAAACACTGCGCCACTGCAGCTCATAAATAAAAGTACTGTCTTCCCATTATTATGTTCATGATGCTTGTGTGTGCCAGCATGGAGTCTAAGGCTCCAATAGAACAGAATATGTGTAAATTAGGGTTGAACTGTGGGGTCCTTGGTGCTCTCTGAGCTTTGTGAGGGGTTTTGCAGATGTTTCACTACTCAACTAGATAACATAGTCAGTGCTAGCTAGTCTTAGGCTCTTCTGCACTGCAGCCTTAAGTTGCTTGACTTCCATGCACAGGTGGATGGAAAGAAAGCTGGCTTAAAACATTTCTTTCCAGACTTTCTCAACTTTGGCCACAGCAGATGTGCTCACCATGGCCTCTGGTTGGAGAATTCTTTATCCTCCCACGGGTGCTGCTTTCCTTTCTGTGAGTGGGTCTTTATGGATACGTGGTCTCCACTGTTAGACTGAGAAGGTTATTGGAGTCTTAGTGGACAACCAGCTAAATATGAGCCAGCAGTGTGCAGCGGCAGCCAAAAAAGTCAGTGCAATCCTAAACTGCATTAACAGAAGGATACAATCAAGATCAAGTGAGGTACTAATACCACTCTATAAAGCCTTAGTAAGACCACACCTAGAGTACTGCATCCAGTTTTGGTCACCACACTATAAAAAAGATGTTGAGACTCTAGAAAAAGTTCAGAAAAGAGCAACCAGGATGATTAGGGGACTGGAGACTAAAACATATGAAGAACGATTACAGGAACTGAGCATGGCTAGTCTAATGAAGAGAAGGACCAGGGGCTGCCACAGAGAGTAAGGGGTCAAGTTATTTTCCAAGGCACCTGAAGGCCAGACAAGGAATAATGGATGGAAACTGACTAAGGAGAAATTCAACCTAGAAATAAGGATAAATTTTCTGACAGTGAGAGCAATCAACCAATGGAACAGAAGTTGCCTTCAGAAGTTGTGGGAGCTTCATCACTGGAGGCTTTCAGGAGGAGATTGGACTGCCATTTGTTGGAAGTGGTGTAGGGTCTCCTGCTTGGGCGGGGAGTTGGATTAGAGGACCTATAAGGTTCCTTCCAACTCTGTTAATCTAATCTAATCTAAATGTTATTCTTTTCCAGACTTTTTGTACGAGCCTTCCAATAAACTTGTAAGTGTTTCACTAATCCACAGGTGATATTAATAAAACAAAGCCAAACCAGAGATTCATCAGTCGCGATCCCTTCAGAAGGGGGCAGGCAGCCCAGCAACCTAGGACAAAATTACTGTGACGGGTAACCAGAGAGGCAGAAGCATTCCTGCCACAATGCACTCAGCCTATTTATTTATTTATTGGATGTGTACAGCTCCCCATCTCACACACGAGATTTTCTTAAAGCACAGGAGGAAAACCGCTCAGCACTACTTATATTGGCACAAATCGTAAAACATTATTTTTATTGCACAGAAGGAAAAGACAGATGGAGGTGGTCCTCCCATTAGCTTAAGGACACACAGAGGGCAACATCATGCCTTCCTGCTCCCAAGAAGCAATTAGTGGCCATACCTGGCTGTGCCAATCAACCTTAAGAGCAATGGCAGACAGAATTCTGCTTTCAGACTTACCCCTTCCTGCCATAGTGTCCTTACTGGTGGGTGCTGTTCCTGCCAGCAAGTAATAGCTTGAAAAGAATGAGCAGCAAAGCCAGAAGACTCAACCAATGTCTTTGGCTATCATATGCTGCACATACATCCATGGAATAGCATCATTCAGCAATGACTCACAAGAGGTACCAAAGAGGCAGGGTAGCATTTCAATGTACTGCTCTGTACCTTCAAAAGTAGATGAATAATTCAGTAAAGAGATAAGACCCCTTGTCCCCAATGTGGAGTAACTATTCAACCTAAGTTTAATAAAAGTAGGACAGAGGCAGGCTGGAAGGAAAATTAAAAGAATAACCAATAATAACAGCAAAAATACTGAATGTTGGTTGTAGGGGCATTTAAGGATAACATTAGAATGGCTCCTCTGTTGCATCTGTTAAAATTCTCCTCCTTTAGTTATTCTCAGTGCTTAAAAGTTCCACATTGTATTCTTTATCAAGCCAACCGTAGACAATTGTGCTCAACTTATGCTTTCCAGATATATTGGGACTGCCACTCTCACAATCCTCAGGCAAGAGGATATCAGATTAGGAAAAGCTGAGGTACAGTTTCTGTTGAGGATGTGAAGCCTGAAAAGAGGATGTGATCCTGCACACAGCAAGGCAATTTAAACACTGTGTGCACATAAAACATTATTATGGGAAGGTTTGGTCACCACAGGTTTCATTCATTTATATAAATTCTTCAGCTAGGGAGACAGCATGGATCACTACCAGGATAGGAGAAACAACAAGGCTACAATCATTCCCCCTCTGAATGTTCTTATCAGTGAAAAATATTTTACTTACCTGCTGCTTTTTCTGGGCAAAGGGAGGTCCTTCTGGAAAGGAAAAAAAAAAACACTTCCCATTAGTTACAGCTCCAAACTGAGAGCCAGGAGAAAGGAAAACTGACTGCTCATTTTCACATCCTATTCTTTGTGGGAAATAAACAGTAAACAACCTCAGTCTTGACTATCTTTCCCATTTCTTGAATAGCCTTGTCATCAAGAGAGTATTCTGATTCATACCAAGGTAAGATAAAGATATGGAAACCAGCTGTTCTACAGGCAGAAGGTCACCACAGCTAGTCAACAATTATTTTCTTCAACAGCTTCAATTGAGAAAGTTATGCCAATAAAACCCAGTCAGAAATACTGAGACAGACTACATTCCACTAGACAAAAGGAGGATGAGGAAATCCACTGGAGTTAGAGCAGCAGCTAACACAGAGCAACTGAATCTGTGATGATGCAAGAACAGTTTTCAGGAGGTTGAGACAAGGATACATATTTGTTATGATTGCAGGAGAGCAGAGGAAAACAAAAGGAAAAGACAATGATGATGATTTGCACATAATTCAGCTTCCTCAATTATGACCCTTATGGAGTAGACACAATTCTACCTCTCATGGTTGGGAAGTCGTAAGTATTTAGTCACAGCAAGTCTGCTGAAATCTCAGAAACTGAAGTGATTATTAGCAATTACTTTAGCTTCTGAGATTTCAGCAGACATGCAGTGACTAAATACAGTTCCTGCGCTCCAAGGGTGAGGCATTCAAATCCTCCATACATTTACCTCCTTGCCTTGAATAAATGATGTAATATAATACAAATAAAAAGGCAGAGTAAATTACACAAACAATAGAAATTAAGCAAATTAATTGACTTTATGCTGTGTCAACACATTGAAAACCTTTTTTCCTTGGGTGTTTCATGGGGGGTGGGCAGGATTTGAATTAAAATATTATAGAATAAAAAAATTCTGTTTATAGGATGATGGACAGTAGAGAAAATGCTTCTGAGGCAGTGTCATAAATAAAAATGAAAAAGGAACAGTCTGCAGGTTTCCATAGACTAGGTGTGTGTGTGAGAGGGAGGGGGGGAGAGATTGGGACACATACACAAATTTATTTTGACAGAGATATTGGATTTTCCATATTGATCACATGCCAGAACATATACTTATAAAATGCAATGCAATTGCCAAAACCTTATTTAATTTTACTGTTTAAAAGCTTGGATTCCAATGGCAGTCACTCATTTTGGACTGAAATCTCCCTCTTTTCTAACAGGATGAAAAAAATGTGATATCAAGGATTACAAGGACAGCAGGATTCAAAAGTAGATTTTTGTAAACACAAATTTGTAAGCACAGGAAGGAGAGGGGAGTGGGGGAGAGAGAGAATGGCTTCTGCATGTTATCCAATGTCTCTAAGTTTCATACGGCCCCAGATGAAAACTGTCAAAAGCATTATAATGTGATTTTATTTTTCATAAGATTGCAAAGAAAAACCATAAATACATGGTGTGAATGCAATCCTATTAACTATCATTTTAATTCAGCTGAACTCCAAATGAAATGAAATCAAAGTTAATGTTTGTCTGGATCCGATCCCCCCACCTCAACTTTCTAAAGATTTCCATCCCAGAAAATATTGTGTAGCTCTGCCCTATATAAGCAATTTTCAGGAATCAGAATTTATTACAGCCAAGACAGGTCTGAGGCAGAGTCTGTGCACTCAGTTGAATACAAATTGGTTTTATTTGTGGATGATGTTATTTTGTTTATTTGTAATCCTAATACTATTATTCCAGTGTTAATATAACACTATTTAGTAAAATAGCAGGATGCTATATTAACTGGTCCAAATTAAAATCGATGCCAATAAGTGAAATTTCATTTAAAGAATATCAATGCTGCATTGATATGCATTGAACCTTGGGAGTTGGGCGGCATAGAAATATGATTAATTAAATTTCTATGTGCATTCCAAAAGATATACTTTGGTTAGCCATAAACTTATATACTGCTTCACAGTGCTTTACAGCCCTCTCTAAGTGGTTTACAGAGTTAGTATATTGCCCCCAACAATCTGGGTTCTCATTTTACCAACCATTGAAGGATGGAAGGCTGAGTGAGCTGCTCAGAATCACTCTAGTGAGTGAGCTGTTAAATTAGCCTGCAATGCTGCATTCTAACCACTGCGCCAGCACAGCTCTTACAATAGTTAGTAACGGTTAGTAATATTTAGTAATATGTCTCTTTCACTGTGCTTTTAGTTAAGTGTTTATTATTTTATTATGTTACTGTAAACTCCCCAGAGACACTTAGATGAGAAGGGCAGTATACAAATTTAATAAATAAATAAATAAACATGTAACATAAATAAAATATAGAAAGATATTGGTTTAGATATTGATAATGAGAGTCATTAAATCTCATCCTTTGGGAAAAAGGGAAAATTCTCAAAATGAATATTATTCTCAGATTTATATGTACAGTATACTGACAGGAATCTTAGTTCATGTATCTGGAAAATATTTTCAAAAAATACATTCTTTGTTTAGAAATTTACTATGGGGTTCTTTGATTCTGACAATACTTTATTGAAAATGCAACTACAGTTAATGACGGAGAAATCTATTTTCCGAATCAGAAACTACCGAATATGCCATGCTTACCTGTCATCAAATATTAAATATTGGGAGCCAACAATTAGTGTTAATTTTCTGATTTGGGAAACTTTGGAATATATAGTACCTTTGGTTATATGGACAGTATTAGAATCAAAATGCACTAGAACTCTAGTACCTCTGGAAACAATGTCAGAAAATTATTTTATTCTACTTACTTATTTGGATTGTTTAAATCCTGCCTTTATTACTTTTATAAATAACTCAAGCAGTGAACATATCCAACATATCTTCCTCCTCCTATTTTCTGTACAATAATAACCCTGTGAAGTGGGTTGGCCTGAGTGACCCAAAATCACTCAGATGGCTTTCATGCCTAAGGCAGAACTAACATTCAGAATTTCCTGATTTCTAGCTTGGTACCTTAACCACTACATCAAACTTTAGAGCAAATGAGAAACAATAGAGGTGATTTTTAACATATATGAAGAGATAAATTTCATTTTCTAGATGTAACCCAATGATAATATTTATTAGCAAGTTTCTTTGGACCAGCAGGATTTTCAGCTTCTGAGACATCTGAGATACTAAAACAACTTGTTAAATCCTTTAATTTTTTTTAAAAAAAACTACTATAGTATGAGTTTTTGTAGATATTTGTTGTCAAAACCACTTGATATGCAGATACTAAAAAGTAAATTAATGGCCTAATCTATTCACTCAATGGCCTGGAGACTTGGTTACACTTGCCACCTATTACAGATGTAGACTTTGCCTCCAGATGTAGACTTTATATGGACAAGCATAATGAAATATGGAACTCATAAAAAATACAGTAAATTAAAAATTATAGTTATATAAGTGTCATATATATATATATATATATATATATATATATATATATATATATATATGCAGTTCAATAATATTTATATTAGGTAAGTACTGTATATACAGAATTGTAACTACTAACAATAGCTATAGTTATAACAATATACAAGTATTCATTTTTCATTTTTCTGTTGTATTTTTAAAAACTTTTTTCAAAAGCACTTTTTGTGTGGGTTTCTTTTCTTGAGAATGTTAATCTTTAATTCCTATACTGTTACAGTTACTATTTTAAAAGCGATAAATAATAAACAATAATATTTGAAATACCAGTAGCTACAATATCAATGATGATGTCTATTTCTATGGAGAGATTATTTCCAAAGGACGCTAATGAAGGAATGACAGATATGAAACAATTTTTCCTGAAGCAAACGTATTAGAACCAGAAATACTGGGTAATAACAAAAGTGTGAATTATATGACAGAGAAGGCATCTGAAGTTGAAACACAAATGAGAAATGAAAAGCATGACCTGGGTAAAGACTTTCCACTGGATATACAAAAAAGTTGGTTCTTCTTCAAAAGCTTTGAAAATCAAAGTGGAAAAGACAAATGACAAATCTAGACAATGGCCTAGACAATGACTTTTGACTGCCTTTACAAAAGAGGTTTGCTAAAGCATTGAAGAAACCTTTGCAATGGGAAAAAGAAAAACTGAACCAAGATAAAATCCTACAACAATATCTGACTAAATTAAACATTAAGATTGTCAGAAATAAAAGGAAAAAATATATAATTGACCAAAGATAAAGTAAGACGTTTCTATAAAACTCTGTTAATGCTTTACAGTTTTTTTGCTGACACTAGGACTGAAAAGGGTTAGGGCTGATGATTTATGAATTTGCATATAGATAAGGAATGTGTTGTGGGAAGAACAAATATTGGTAACATTATAGAGGAGGAAGAATTATGTTTGTTTATACTTTCTGAGATGGAAGATTGTAGGTCACTTATTTATTTCTCTTTAAAAAATTACTTCTTTTTTTTCCTTTTTCCTTTGCATTTTATATTTTCTATTTCTCCTTCTCTCTCTGAGTTTAGTTTGTATTTGCTTTTATTATTGTAATTAAAATCCTCAGTAAAAAAGTCATTTAGAAAAAAATGCCTCTCTGTTCTCTGCAAATTATCATGTCGTCATTCTGCCAGGGTGTTTTGAAGTTTAAAGGAGTGGCTAATGGACTATCTTGCTCAGGTATCTTTAGGACTCTTTAGGAAACAAAGTGATATGAATTTCTGGGTTCTTCTTTCCAGCCCACATTCAGTATTTAGCTGCATGTAGAAGCCTCCGGCTCCACCTTCTTGAATGCAGACACATCACACAGTTATCATTTCATTTTCAAATGAGAGTAGGAACTTTTTATTTCTTCCCCAACCTATTGTCCTCCAGATCTATTGGACTACAACTCTAATAATGCCCTCTGTTGCTTGGAGAGATGGGAGTTGTAATCCCAAGCATTCAGAGAGTACAAAAATCATAAAACTTATTTTAGGCATCTATTTTTGTCAAGCAAGCTAAGACTTCCCCAGACTCCTTC